TTAGTACTGTTGTTGTTATTATTCCTATTGTTATTGTTATTAGTTTTATTATTATCATCATCAGCAGCATCAGCGTTATTATTCTTAGTGTTATTACTGTTACTATTCTTATTCTTATTCTTATTCTTATTATTTATTTTTTGTAGTTATTGTTGTCGTTGTTGTTTATATTATTGATTTATGGTTCTCGAAGTTACCGTTATTATTATTGTTGTTATCATCATTAATGCTTTTGTTATTATAATTGCTTTTAGTATTACAGCTATATTTTTTATTGTAATTCTCTCTCTCTCTCTCTCTCTCTCTCTCTCTCTCTCTCTCTCTCTCTCTCTCTCTCTCTCTCTCTCTCTCTCTCCTCTCTCTCTCTCTCCTCTCTTCTCACTCTCTCTCTCTCTCTCTCACTCTCTCTCACTCTCTCTCACTCTCTCACTCTCTCACTCTCTCACTCTCTCTCTCTCTCTCTCTCTCTCTCTCTCTCTCTCTCTCTCTCTCTCTCTCTCTCTCTCTCTCTCTCTCTCTCTCTCTCTCTCTCTCTCTCTCTCTCTCTCTCTCTCTCTCTCTCTCTCTCACTCTCTCTCTTCTCTCTCTCACTCTCTCTCTCTCACTCTCTCTCTCTCACCTCTCTCTCTCACTCTCTCTCTCTCTCTCTCTCTCTCACTCTCTCTCTCTCTCTCTCTCTCTCTCTCTCTCTCTCTCTCACTCTCTCTCTCACTCTCTCACTCTCTCTCACTTCTCTCTCTCTCTCACCTCTCTCTCTCTCTCTCTCTCTCTCTCTCTCTCTCTCTCTCTCTCTCTCTCTCTCTCTCTCTCTCTCTCTCTCTCTCTCTCTCTCTCTCTCTACTCTCACTTCACTCTCATTCTCACTCATACTGAAGCATGGACTCACAGCACTTTTGTTTGAAATGAAAGCTAATATATATATGTAATACCCAGACATTCAGATTATATCCATAACTATTTACATCTACAATTGCATTTGGATATTCTAGTATTTTCTGATATTAAGTACATCCTATGCAATTAGACACTAATATACAATATGTATTATCATTCTATGTTACCGTTTGTTGTCAATTATATGTTGTTGTAAAAAGGTCAACTATTGACCTTGTAGCTATCATGTTCTGACAGTTCAGGTCTGGCCATGATTAAAGCTTAGATTCATTCCCAGCAATCAGACTGGTTGAAGACAAAGGTTTTGGCATTCTTATCCTCTTTAGGGGGTGGCAGTTATTGCGACTATTATTGTATAAGTAATTTTGGGGAGAGGGGAGAATTTTGTGGTCATTTTTCGTACTTTGATATTTAAAGTTTCTGTGTTTTGGGATGTAGGAAGTTGATTGCCCATGTTATTGATTTTGCGGAGATGGTTAATGAATTGTATACTTTATATGTTATCGCACAAAGTTCAGATTGCAATTTATTGTGCTGATTTTTGTATTTTCTTTCCTCCAGGACAGGACTATTAAAGATGTCTGACTGATATTGATTTAGCTTGCAATCTTTGTAATCCATGAATAGAAACCACACAGACCACTACATCCCACTATTATCAAGTCTGAGGCCAGGGTGCTAGGCAACCTCTGAACTATGACCTTTGACCCTTGCTCGGGATGGTGAAACTTGTTTTATTTTTTGGAGGGTGGGAAGGTTAAATGTGCAGTAGTGGCCTATGATTGCGGGAATACATGGCTGGCTGTTCGTGATTTGTACGAGTAGATGATTATAGTGTTCAGGGTTCACCACAAGAGAAGAACAGCTTTGAAAGAGTTGTATTGATGTTATTAATATTATTTTTTCTCAAATAATGAAATACTTGTATCTGTTATTGTATTTTTCAAGTTATCATATTCTTTTATTTTTTATTTTTGCATACATTCATAAATCCAACCCACTTATTATTATTGGCAGCACACTTCCTTTGTGGTGGCTCACCCTCTCATTCTCAAAAGCCGTGAAGCCTAGTATGTTTAATCTTCCCATGTATGTGTTGCTGCATGGGCCTTCTGCCTCTGCGCATTTTAGATCAGCTGTGAACGTACAAGTTTCATTTTCAAAGTGTTCGTTTTTTGTTTTTTGGAGGGGATTTCATTTTTCTGCTAATTTTATTTATCTACTTATCTACACTATGTATTGATTTTAATTTTTGGTGTGTTTATGTATATATTTGACTGGGAAATTATTTTATCTTGGGGGTCTGCAGTCTATTTACTTTTTTTTCTTTTTTTTTATTACTCTCTTACTGTTTTTGTTTTGCTTATTTGGCATTGTTAAATGGATTGTTTTCCTGGTATTGTTAACAAGGCTTTTTGACAATGCATGGATGTGGATTCCTTTACTTGATATTTTGGAGATAAAGTAGGAAAAAATCATTTGTTTATTTACAATTCACAAATAGTATAGAGAATAGGTAGGAAAACAGTCACTTGGTTAATAGAGACTTGTACTTAGTAAATAGCAGAGAAGTAAAAGGATTTATTAATATATTTACTTGTTAATA